AGATCCCTTCATAAAACTGGCCCTTTGGTCACACACTTTTGGCTCTTCTCAAGCATTATTTAATGCAATGGTTGTGGGGATTTTGGGGGGGGGTTTGTTTTGTTTTGTTTTGGTTTTGGTTTTGGGGGGGGTTTCCACCAGGACAAATAAATTTAATTCACCCTAAACCTTCCAAATCAGAAACTCATTCATTCATTTTAAACTCTTCTAGTTTCAGTGAGGCAGTGGAGGCAGAGGAAGAAAAGCAACAAGTAAATAAGGTAATTCCAGCCTGATTATTTTTATGAAGGAAATAAACCATGTTTACATGAGCAAGAGTAACGAGTGGAGAGGGCAGGCCACTCTCAGAAAGGCCTTTAGGAAGGACAAGGAGGCAGCCCAGCACCACCGCAGGAAACGGATTTCCACTCACCGGAATGGCAAGTGTGCAAGCCATGTGTTTGGAGCACACACAGGATGAGAGTCGTGCTCAGTGAAGTTGGTGAATACATGAGCAACTAATAAGCCACGGTGAGGAGCTTGGATCCTACTCTTGAGCACAAAAGGAAGCCACTGAATGGTTTTCAGGAGGGAATCACAAAGGCTGATTTACATTCTTAAACGTCCTCAGGACACTTCTGATTAAAAGTATAGCATTACACTGCATCACAGAATTTTCTGCCCCCGATATCTAATAAAATAAACAAAAACTTTACAAAATCAGAAGTATATATACTTACTAAATCAAATTAAGAGAGCCACAACCTAATTCACTGCTCTTCAAGAGCTGGGGGCTAAGGAAAGAAAAAGAAGTTTCCCGGAGAAAAGCAGAGAAACACACTTATACTTGTAAGAAGACAAAGACCTGGAATTCTTACTATTTTCCTTAAATCTAAACAATGTGGCTCTTTTTCACTGTTGAACTTTCTAACCATGAAGGAGTGGGAATGAGTGAAAGGCAAGGAGGAAGGGGCTGAGCCCTGATGGTGGTTTCAGAGCCAGATTCGGAATCCAGAGCTGGATCCGGTTCTTGAGTTTTCTAATGCAACTGGTCAGGCCCAAGAAGAGACAACAATGGAGAATGGGAAGAAGCAAGCAGAGAACTAGGGGAAGCATGGAAAAATGTGGTATCATGGAAGCCAGAAGAGGAGAGTAGTGTGAGAAGAATGGAGTCATCAGCTATTCTAGTTGTAGCTAAGTGACCAAATGAGAGGAAGACAAAGAAGTGTGTACCAGAATTGGCCAAATAGAGGTTGTTTGTAACTTGACAAGCAGCTTCAATGGAAAAATGGTAAAAGGGGGTGAGATTGAATTTGATTGAAGATTTACAGTGTTCAGTAGTTTAAAATGGTTTAAAAATAGTTATAAAACAAACTAGTTGATTAGGAAAAATATAATCATCCCAGATGCGGAGACCAAAGGGAATATTTAGACCTCTTAGACCCAACATGGGTAATTGGGTACAACATCCTGAACAAAATCTCTGCAGTAAACACAACAGGCTTCATAGACTTGCCCCTTAATATTGGCTTCCAGAGATGTTACAGAGGCATTTCTTCATTGGGTGAAAAATTGGGCTAACTGGTTATTTTATTGGAATATAGTTATTCCATGTCATCATTCCATATAATAACCATAACTGGTTATTGAGATGAGCTAATGTCCTGTCCAATTATAAGAGTCTATTAATAATGGGATGCCCCTTTCCTGGGAGAGGGCTAGGTTTGCTTTAAGAAGTTGTCTTGTGGTGGCCATAGTCTAAAATATGAAGTGAGTTAAGCATTTATCATCTACAGGAGTTGACGAGAATATGGGAATGTCAATGTTGAGCAAGAGGAGGGCTGAGTCAGAGGACCCATTAAAGGCCAAAGAGCCTGAATTCATATATTTCAGTAAAATTTGCAGAGAGAGTCAAGACCTGGTAGAGAAAACGCAGTCTTCAGAGGCACTAGAGAATTGGCAGATCTAGGCAATTTGCGCACATAGTCTGCAGGTTTCGCTCAGTTATTTCCAATGCAGAAGCTGAGCTCTGATTCATGACCTCCACTCCCCGAAGGAGCTGGTGTGCTCTGGCAGACTTACTTGTGAGCCAGTTTTACAGACAATTTCTTCTCACATATCCCACGAACAATATTCTACTCTCTATTCACCTCATTAACTAGTTAATAGGGAAAAGATCACATTAATAACTTAAGATTTTAATGTCATTTTCAAAGTTACCCAATTGTCTAACTACACTCAAACAGTATAGCCTAGTAATTAAGAGTGCAGACTAAGAAGACAGACCAAGAGGAGTCTTCACCCCTCAATAGCTCTGGAATCCTGGGCAAGATAACCTCCTCAAACCCCCCTGCCCTCATCTATAAAATGGGGGGTCGTAATAGTATATATTTCACAGGGCCACTGTGAAGGGTGTCTTATAGTGCCTGGGACTTTTAGAAGAACTGAAAATATGGCAGACAAAGTCATGTTTGAGAAAACTTTTTCCATGAAACTGATGAGTAGAGCAAAAGTCTTTAAATAACTCGCATTCCTAACTCAGAACTTCCTGAGGGGGCCATTGCTATCCCACCCAGCTGACACCGCAACTCCCTCCTTCCCCCAAAACAAAGTGAGGGGTCTGTTTAGGGAAAGGAGTGATTCTGAAGAGAACTAGTCCAGTGGTCCCCTGTCCCAACGATGAAAGAGAGAAGCCCCATGGTGGTTGGAAAGCTTGAGCGAGCGTAGAGGACCAACATCGTGTAGCTCAGGAGACATCCAGCCACCAAGTTTGTTAACTTGCCTTGGAATGACCACAGAAAAGGAAAAAGCACTGGAGGGTGATGGCACCATGGGACAGCAGGTGGAGAAGGACAGACATACTCTTTACCTCTTTACCTCCAGATGCCTGAGAGGTACTGATGGTGGATGAGTGGCAATTACTGTCTGAAAAGTAATCTTCCTTTTCCTAGCTAGTCTTTTGTTTTTTGTTATGGGCTTTTGTGTACACATTATCTATTTTGAGAAGATTCATGTTTATTCTCTCCCCACATAATCCTAGTAACAGAACATAAAATGCCTAGGATATGAATGGAAACATATGTCCTTTTTTGCTTCCTTGCTTCTTTATCACAAAGATTTCTAAAAGAGCACACTTTTAATAATTTACATGTTTCTCTCTCTGTAATTGTAATAGAGATCCTTTGTAGGCATAGAAACTATGAAAAAAGAAAGAAGAAAATAAAAGCCATGCAGATCACATCACCCAGATATAACCCTGTTTATATTTACTTTACGTTCTTTCTAATTTTTAAATTCATATATGTACATGAATATGTGTATATTATATACACACACATATACATACATCAAATTGTACAAACTGTTTATAACCTGTTCTTTTTATTGTTAGCACTTAGAAGAGTGCTTGGCACATCATGAGTTCTCAATAAATATTTGTTGAATAAATGAGTGAACATATTTCCACATCATTAAATTTTTTCTACGGCATCATTTTTCCCAGTTGCATAGAATTGCACTGTGTGAATGATCGTGCCATATCTAACCAGGCCCTAGAGAGCTGAGGAGGAATAAGGCCATGAGAGGACACACAGATACCCCGTGCAGGGCCCCCTCAGCAAGGGGGAGTGTGCTGCCCAGCTGCTGGGAGTACTGGCAAGCCCAGCCTCCACTGTCAGCTCCCTTCAGGGATAGTCTCAGCTCCTGAAAGCCACCTTCCCAGGGCACCTATACCTAGGACTGTTCACAGAGGGGCCCAATGCAAAACAACTTGGGCAGGCCATCTTCTTCTGGAGCTTTCCGGATGGAGGGAGGGGGGTGCCTGAGACTTCCCACCTGCGTGGCAGTTTGTCTTCTCTGTCTGCCCAATCCTATTTCTTCCCTCTCCTTCCAAAGGCGTTAATCGCAAGGCATTCTCTAATAAATATATTGCACGCAAACTTGGTCTCAGAGTCTGCTTCCTGAAGAACCTAATCTGTTATAGATGACCCAGACCTAAGAGAACTCCTGAGTCTACTGATGAAAGCACTCAACAAATTCTAACATTACTGCCATCACCCATCCTTAACTGCAGGCTAAATAACTACCGTGTGGGGCGTCTGGGTGGCTCAGTGGGTTAAGCCGCTGCCTTCGGCTCAGGTCATGATCTCAGGATCCTGGGATCGAGCCCCGCATCGGGCTCTCTGCTCGGCGGGGAGCGTGCTTCCTCCTCTCTCTCTGCCTGCCTCTCTGCCTGCTTGTGATCTCTCTCTGTCAGATAAATAAATAAAATCTTTAAAAAAATAAATAAAAATAATAAATAAATAAATAAATAAATAACTACCGTGTGCCTGAACCATGATATGTTATGCAGATGTCAGCAGAAATGTTCTTGGTGCTGGGTATGACACTCAGTGGCTCCAGAGGAAGGGAAGGGGAGGGGAGGAGAGGGAGAGGAGGGAGGGGAAGAAAGGAGCAACATTAGTCTTATTAGTCTTTAGACCACCTATAGTGTGAGTGTTAATCAGGGAATCACTCTCCCCCTAAATGTAACAAATGCAAGTTATAAAAACTGAAACCAGACATGGCCTTGGGCAGATAGACATGCACCAGCATGACTATAAGTGGTCAGGACAATAAATAGGCCTTTGAGGGCACAAAAGCAGAAATAAGGATCAAATATTAAAAAAAAAATTTAAATCAAAACAAAAACAAAAGTCCTTGAGTAGTATGTGTTCCAGAAAAGCCCAGAACTAGAAGAAATCCAGAGGAGCGATGAGCTAAGCCCTGTCAAGGTGCTTCCATCTGTCAGAATCGTACATTCCAAAGTAGCAGAAATCTACGGTCCAAAAACTTCCTGTTACTTCCAGCCTCGGCGAGGCAAGCTCAGACACCATCAGGCTCAGCCCATGTGAGATGCCTCCTCCCAATCACAGACCACTGCTCCTGGTCCAGGAGGCTCAAAGAATTGGTGCTGGGTAGAAAAGCACCTCAGGCCAGAACAGCTTGCAGAGTGGGCCGGCACAGCACAAGGAGGAGGAGAAGGAAGAGAGGGCAAGGTGAGTAGACTGATCTCACTCTGCTGGGAAGCCAACCACACGCTCAATGGTTGGGTTGCCTTCCTGGGAGGCGAGCTGGGGTCTGAAAGGGCAAGGGGAAAACGATAATTTCCTCATTAATAGATCTGTCATTTTTTATAATAAGACTACTATAACAACTTTGTTCTTTTACTTTAAATGGTACAAATTGCTTTCTTAAATCATTTGATATTGTCCAGTTCTCAGAACTGAGGTTAAAATTCTGGGAGTATTATTCACCTACCCTGATTTCAACCTCCAATTTCCTGACAGAAAGACCAAGACAAATCCAAGAACCCTGGGAAAAATTTTATCTCCTGATTAAAATTTCAGACAGATCCCTGTGGACCCCAATTTCCTGGTAAAGTCAGAGAACCAAAAAGAAAATTTAAGGAGGAGCATCTGGGTAGCTCAGTGGGTTAAAGCCTCTGCTTTCAGCTCAGGTCATGATCTCAGGGTCCTGAGATCGAGCCGCGGATTAGGCTCTCTGCTAGGCAGGGAGCCTGCTTCCTCCTCTCTCTCTGCCTGCCTCTCTGCCTACTTGTGATCTCTCTCTCTTCGCTCTCTTTCTGTCAAATAAATAAATAAATAAATCTTTAAAAAAAGAAAGAAAGAAAATTTAAGGAAATGGGTCATGTTCTTTCTTAATAATGTAGTAGGGAGAAACTTCCCTGGTAGTCTTGTCAGAAATCATTTGATCCTGCCTACTCATAATGGGATTTGTAAGGCAATTTACTCATGTTTCTTCTCTGCAAACAGTTCTGCTTAGCAAATGTGTCAGTTGAAATAAGTCAACAAATTAGCTTTATCTATGCAATGTTATTTTTACATAATTTATTTTTACTCTTCACCAATTAGTTGATCTATAGGATCCACAGGTCCTAAATATATTTTTTGTTCTAACAACATTTCTACATGTAATATGAATTAAATTTCAAATAATGCTAGTATTATTTTATGTAAGTTTAAAACCCCACTTGTAATTAGTTTCAAAGATTTTGAACACATTTTGAATTTCATTAATTTCAATGTCTTTTTTAAATTAAAGACAAAGTTAGTTGACTGTTTCTTGATATATATATGTATTTTTATATATTTAAATAGTTTTCAAATCTTGTAAAGAAATGGTTTTCCTTTTGATTAGCTCTTCTCAACAAGGAGAAAGTTTTCTCATTTTGCTTTCTGCTGCAACAGACTTTTTTCCTTTCAGCTACAATAGGCTTAAAAATCAACTCACTTACTTTTTTTTTTTTAATTACCTGGGAAGAATAAAGACTTGTAAATCCAAAGGGGAATTTACACACCATTTAGTTAAGAAAAACAAATGAAATCTCAGAATTTCTTTTTGACCTCTCCTGCTTTGCATTCTTGCTAAGAGCAAACACTGATAAGCTCATGCATGCTGCCCACACCCCTGATGTTCCCTAACTGGGGCAAAGACCAAATTCATGAAGAGGTGCTCTAATCTTACCTCCCAGGAGTCTCCATAGCATTCTTGCCCTGGGGTTTGGCTCCTGCTGGCATGGCCCATACTTAGGGTCCTCACTTGGCTGAGAATGCCTGAGCCATTGCTTCCATCTTAGTCCTGACTTCAGGTGATTGAATGACTCTAAGGTCAGCGTGACAAGCATCAGGAGTCCAGAGGAGTGCTATCAATAGAACTCTGTGATGATGGAAATTCTATAAGACAGTCAATAACTACATGTGGCTGCTGAGCACTTAAAATGGGGCTAGTGCAACTAAAGAAGTGAATTTCAATTTTATTTAATTGAGCTAGTTTGAATGAAAATAGCTACATGGGGCTTCCAGTTACCATATTAGTGAGAATAGATTTAGGGCTTTAATGGAAGAAAAACCAATGGATAATGTGAGCCCTACGTGTCATGGCCACGGGAATGAGCACCTCTTTTCATCATTCCCAGGGACTCATCCTACCCTAAACTTAAAGCAGACCAGCAATTGTTCTGATCTAAAATCCCCACACCCATCTTTCTTCTCCCCTCTAAGTCATACAACTGTCTACTCTTGTCCTGGGTTTCAAGGTCAGGGGTGAGGCAACAGCACAGCATGTTTATTATTTCTTCCTCTCCTATTTCTCTATTTCTTTTTCTTTTGTTAATCCAAATTTCTCTAGAGTAAGCTAGAGGTTAAGGTGTGGTTTGCATGTTCTCTGGTCCAACAAACTTGAGTGAGGAAAAGAGGTAATGAACTTGAAAAAATGATCTCATGCTTGGTGGGAGAGTCTCACTTCTTTTTCTTCTACTTTGAAAGTAGTTTATTTAGTGAGCAATGGTTTTTAGACTTACTCAATGTGTCTGGAAACATCAACATTATGGATATGAGTAATTTTTATAAGAAAACAAACTGAAAGGGCACAAGAAAAAAAAAAGAAATAAAACTCTAGCCTTTTCAAACGTTTGCCTTCCTTAGAGCAAAGGCGCTTCTGGGACATTGAGCAATTTAGTATATCATCATGGTGCCAGGCCACTGGGCAGTTTTCCACAGGGTGGGGCTCACAGAGGCTATTCTTGAATGTGGAAAACATTTTGAGGCAAGCCGCATACTTTCAGTCGGGGTGATAACATTTTTGAAGTGGACAGTCGCTACTTGGCTCTCTGTCCTCTACCAATCCCACCTTTTAAAATTTTCCTCACCCCATTTGCTTTTTCGCTATCCCTTCCAAGTTAAAAAAGAAACCTAATACCTCTGTGGGAAGTGCTACTTTGGAATAACATGGGAAAGTTTCCATAGACTCCATATTTGAAAGAGACGATACATTCTGGAGGCTACAAGGGAAGGTAGGAGGGAAAGCACATCATATTGTCAAGACTCAGTCTCTACCCACAAAAGACAGATCCAAGACCCAAGATCATGAGTTAGGTTAATCCACTGAGACTCTACACTCCTTGAGTCTCTTTCTCCCTCATGTGTCTTTCCTCTCCCTTTGGAAATACAAGGAAGGGTTTTGATAAAATCATTCACAACAAGGAATTGACATTGATGACTCATAAGACTCACCGTGCCTCTTTTATATGGATGTGCATTCCAATCAGGAGCAAAGGAATGATTCTCTTGTGGATTTCAGAAAATAGGGTACAGAGTGAGGAAGACTGAATGGAGGGCAAAGACAGAAGGCTCTCTCCTTGCCAGCTTTGTTTATATGGCTCCCTTCATGGCTTAATCTGTAAGAGAAAAGAGCAAGGTAGGGCATGGGACTGTCTCTCAACTTTAAAGAAACATAAAGGGAGGTGGTGTCTACCTAAAAAAAGAAGAATGATTAGTGACAAACTCAATAAAAGTTTGTTAAGAGGAGATCAGGACTTGAATCTTGACTCTGCAAACAACACATCCATGATCTTGAGCAAGTCGCTTCCCCTCCAGGAGCCTCAGTTTCCTCATTTGCACAATGAGAGGACTGACTACAAAGCCTCTACATCTTCAGCCAAATGAAGAGACAATTGTTTTAAGGAAATGGCTCACGTGGTTGCAGGGCCTCACAAGCCCGAAATCTGTAGGGTTGCTGCAAATTCAGGAAAGTAGATGATGCCACAATCTTGAGTCTGAAATCTGTTTTTCTGTTCTGCAGTTTGGGGGCAGAAATCCTTCTTCCTCCGGAAATCAGTCTTTGCTCTTAAAACCCTCAACTGACTGGAAGAGGCCCATCCATGTTTTGGAGATTAATTGGCTTTCCTCAAAGCCTATTGATTTAGATGTCAATCACATCTGTTAAAATATCTTCACAGCGGGGCACCTGGGTGGCTCAGGGGGTTAAGCCTCTGCCTTCAGCTCAGGTCATGGTCCCAGGGTCCTAGGATCGAGTCCCACATCGGGCTCTCTGCTCAACAGGAGCCTGCTTCTTTCCCTCTGCCTGTCATTTCCTCTGTTTGTGCTCTCTCTCTGGCAAATAAATAAATAAAATCTTAAAAAAAAAATATCTTCACAGCTGTGTCTAGACCGGTATTTGACCAAACAGCTGGGCACTGTATCCCAGTCAAGGCCTTAGAGAACACCCTGGTTTATATTCTGTAGGTAGACTGGTGTCATCTGTTTCTCTTTTTTTTTCTCTCTCTGGGCCTGTCCTCTCTGGTAAGGGCAATACATTTGTAATATCTCCCTCTCTCCTCTCTCTCTCTCTCTCTCTTTTAACAGCCATCGGTGTGAAAATTTGTCAAAACTTTTCTTGCTTTACGGGGCGCCTGGGTGGCTCAGTGGGTTAAGCCTCTGCCTTCGGCTCAGGTCATGATCTCAGGGTCCTGGGATCGAGCCCCGCATCGGGCTCTCTGCTCAGCAGGGAGCCTGCTTCCTCCTCTCGCTCTACCTGCCTCTCTGCCTGCTTGTGATCTCTCTCTGTCAAATAAATAAATAAAATCTTTAAAAAAAAAAAAAACTTTTCTTGCTTTTAACTTAAATAAATTCATTAGTCTACCCTGGTGCACAGGCATCCAGAACCTTCAAAGAACTCTGAACGATGAGCCAGGCCTGATGGTTTTCTTTCCTAGAAGTCATGTTGCTTCTGTTCCAAGTATGCCAAGAACCCCTTCCCAGATGCTTCTCCAGCTATCTATTAAGGAAGTTGCCTGTTTTCCAGGAAACTTTCCTAGAAGTGTTCCATACACTTTCCTAGAAGTGTTCAACACAGGTCATTTAGACACAGAAACAATGTAATATCATTGTTCACATTTTGACCACAGTTTTCCAACTTCACTCTTGAGTATCTCCTAACCCCCTGGGAATGGCCTGCTAGCTCAGTACTTTTCCCACATCTTTCATTCCTGTTAGTTCTAGAAGTTTGGTTGGTAGCCACTCTGGGGCTTACCATGAGGCTCAGGAATTCAGAGTTGATGAGGGAAAGCTCTCCACTCTTGCTTCAGCCAAATTTTGATCTGCTTTTATATATTAGCATCTCATATTAAAATCACATGTCTTTTGAAATGTGGCTCTGTGTTTTAAAACAAAATTAAATCACTAGTTTTAGGTGTTTT